TGCACCAAGAGCTATCATAGGAAGATGTACAGAGACATCACTATCTGGATTTAGTGTACCAGAGTTCAATAACACAAGTAACTTAAAAAAATTAACTAAAAAAAAAAACGTTAATTTTTAATTTTAATAATTCTGTTGTAGTACGACAAAAAAAACCTCCGCTAAGGGATGAAGCAGATATGAGCTTAGTGTCACCTATTCTACCATTTACTCCCTCTCCTATTCTTGTCCCAGATGAAATAACCTATGCCCCGGTAGGATTATGCGCACTATCAGTAAATCCACAATTAGATACTGATTTAAATAAAGATAGTGGATTTAGATTTGGTATGTTAACTCATTGAGAAATTATTGTAATTCATTGTATTCATTGTAATAATATGCTTCATAAATATTATTATTTTTAGGAAATCACTTGGGAAGTCGGTTCGAATATGATTCAATAATGATAAAAACTAAAAATAACAGAAACGAGATTTCAGTAGACGTAAAAACTTCTAGTTCGGATGGAATAATATTTTTTGCCCATCAATCTGACGGAACTGACTTTATGGCTATTTATTTGATTGAAGGAAAAGTAATATAACCATATTATATTATAAATAGTGTCAATAATATTTTTAAATTTTAGGTTAACTATCAATTGAGTTGTAACTCTCAACCAGCAACAATCAAAGCTCAATGGCCAATTAATGACGGAGAATGGCATTCTATTAACTGGACTAGATCTAATACAAATGCTGAGTTATTTGTAGATAGTACACCAGTTGGATTCAGTACTATGTCAGAATGTAAAAACACAAATTCCCCATTCTATTTCGGAGGCACTAATCCAATAGCGTATCAAAAAGTTATAGAATTCATAGTAAGAACGAAATATTTGATTACAACTAAAAATAATAATATTCTATGATAACATTCTGAACCAAAAATAACAAGAATTATTGTGCTTAATATAACTTGGATACAATTACTTTCAGGGAATGAATGTAACATTTGAAGGTTGTTTACGCAATTTCAAAGTAAACTCTAAAGATTTAGGTGCTCCTAGTCATAAATATGGTGTAACCAAATGTTCAGGCAAAGTTGAAGAAGGGGCATTTTTCTATGGAAATGGCGGTTACATTAGATTATGTAAATTATTAATGTTAATTTAGTCCTTACAAATTTTATTTCACATTTAACTAACATTTTATTTCAGTGGAAAAATTTGTTATTGGCAAAGAAATTGAGATTTTAATGGATATAAAACCAAGAAGTGTTGATGGCATTTTGTTGTCAGTTCAAACAGTGAAGAAGAACTTTTTAATATTAGAAATGAAAAATGGAACAATATCATTTTCTGTAGATACTGGTAAAGGTCCAATTTCTGCTTCCTTCACTCCAACGTCTCCTTACTACTTATGTGATGGCTTATGGCATAGAATTAAAGGTTAGTTTAGAATAAAACATTAGTAATAATCAAGTATTTCAAGTACTTACACATATATCATATTATATTCAATGAAATACTAATGGATACTTTATATATAAATGTAACTATAAATGTTATTACATGTAGGACGTTGATTTAATTTTTTTCTTCAACTAAAATTCTCTATGCAAAATTTTGTAGATAGTCAATAAGTTATTATTATTATTGTTAATTATTTTTATTTATTTTTTTTACAGCTGTGAAGCTAAAAAATGTTGTACAGTTAGGTGTAGATAATATGTTTGCGACACCAGACCAGTATGGTAAAGGAGGAACATCCAGCAATATGTCGAGCAAATCATTGTACCTTGGTGGTAATCCAATACATAACAATCGTCAGTCCAATGGATACTTAGGATGTATACGGAACGTTGAGATAGTTCACAATAATTTACATGAAAAAAATATATTTAAGAAGTTCCCAACCCAGTTGGTGCATGGCAATGTGACATTAAGTGTTTGTCCAACAATTTAAAGTTACTATTCCAATATCCTGTATAGATAAAAAGCAAATATTATTCATAAATTATTTTTAAATTTATAATATTTTATATTTTTGTAAATAATATTTTTACTTCATGATAATTAATAATAATAACTTGGTCATTTTTATACTTCATAAATATAAAAACATAACCAATTTAAATAAAAAAGGTAATTGTACAAAATAAAAGTATCTACTTTTAAAGCCAGTAAGACTTAATTCCATACAATTGATAGTGTAGCAATTAGTAAAAATTTATATAATAACATATTATATTACTTACAATATATTATTATACTATATAGTACAAAAGTGTATCACATACTGTATTTAAAAGAATCAAGTATATTATGAATATATATTTTAATATACACAAAAAGTATTTTTCTTATTGTCTGCCTTATATATTGGAGCTCAGATTTAATTGTTACCATGATGTGGTTATAACCAGTTATACTTTTCAGTTTTCAACAAGTAATCTTTGGTGTGCAGTGCTTCTCAAAAACTGCTCCAACCAATAACCATGCATGTTACTATACACATGAGTATTAGAGTATATGACTATAATAATACATCATTATCGACTATCGTTATGTATCTATAAGGTCCTATCTCCTATGAAGAATTGGCAAGTTATGTTTATAGCTCATAATCCTGAACTCCAAAAATGTAGTCTGAGGACTAAATTAATAAGTAACTATAAACCCATACCCATAGGCACACTGTAATAATATGTCAGTTATTCAGAAGATATTTTTACCATTGGACACAACTACTAGTAGCCACCCAAAATATTAAAGGGCTTAAGTCTTATAAACAAATCTATAATGAACCCAACTTTTGGTGAGTCAAAATTCTGAAAGTTATTTTTTCAGTAGAGAATTGGAGAAAACATCCAAATTTTAAAGTTTATCGAAATATTATTATTATCATAACAATTAGACGATACCCTCATTACATACAAATTTTCAGTCTACACCACCGCTGTAAAATAATAATATTTTTTTTTTTTTATTACTTAATTTATATTTCCACAATCCGTTTCATAAATTTTGAACAATAAGTGAAATTGATGAATGATGACTATGGCGTGAAGGACGGATTAAAGATACCTTCCAGTGAAGGCACTTTTACAGTTAAAGATGTAAAAAAAAAAGTGTTAAACAATGTTAGTAAATGTTATAAGGAAAGATAAGTAGAAATAACAAAGATAGATATAGAAAGAAGAACAAAAGAAGTTAGATTGGTCTAGGCTAATAGGTCCCTACACCACCGCCCTTTTCAACCTTTTTTGTGGGTTGCCGGGTATATTTATAGACGCAAGTTCTTTGATTAAAGGATTTTTGTGGTTTTGTAGGTTGAAATTTAAACGTTTGTAGAAGGTCTTAGCTACATCGTTGATAGGAGAGATGGCTAGGTCATTATGTAATGTATGATTTGATACTTAGAGGGGTGCTTTGGTTATAGCGCGAAGGACTTTAGACTGGATACGGTTGACATATGTTGGTTTTGCGGAGCCCCATAATTGGACTCCGTTCGTCCAAATTGGTTTTAAGAAGAGTTTGTATATTAATAATTTAGTGGATAGTTTTATATGATGAGAAGTAAGGAGAGAACGGAGAAGACGAAAACGATCGTTTAGGGTTAAGAGCTTGTTACGTATATGTGGAGTACAGGTGAGACGTTGATCGATAGTGATGCCATTATGCCAAGGTAGCGAATGCATGGTGCGACAGGTAGAACTTGTTCATTAAGGGTGATAGGTGGACATTAAAATAATAATATAACGTGTTTCGCGTCATCTCGCTGTTTGAAAACGAAAATAGCATCTTATAAGTTAAATTGCACACAGCAATCGACCTAAGTAAGTGTAGCAATTAACAACTATGCCTTTTTATTGTGCCTACCTATTATAATATCATCTGGCAGTGACAATAAATGAAAGTAGACATATATATATATACAGCATGTAGATGTGCATAATAATTTTTTTACATATATACTGCCGACAGGGAGAGTTTCGATGTCGGGAAAACCAAGATCGTAGGTAAACATTTTGAAAATTGACATACAAATTACTAAAATATAGGTGAAAAAAAATGTTCTAAAATTCCAAATGGGCGGGATAAAGGTTGTGTACGTCTTTAAACCGTGTGTGGTTAACACGTCACCGTCGTGATATAGCAAATAGCTGAAAATATTAAACTACTTCACTCAATTATTGGTCTTCGCGGTGCGGTTAGGTTTTTGTTGATGATTAGTTTTTACCTAAACAATATTATTCCATTTGCGGTGGACAATGGCACGAAATTGCGACTATTGTAAATAATAACAATAATAATAAATAATGATCGGTTGTTGTATCCGTCGCCCCGTCGATCGTGGTCTGCAGCAGTCGCGGATCGGTCGGCGGACGCGGTCATTCGCGCGAAATCCGAGCTGGGCCGCGTGGGGGCAGCGGGAGGTGGAAGCGGCGTTTGTTTTGCAACGCGGCCGGCCTGTCGTATGGTATTATATAGGTGCGGTGGTAGTCGTGTAGGTATATACCATATGCACTTTATTGGCAGCGTGTCAATACCGCACGGGCGGCGGCGCGAAGGACGCGTAAGGGTACCCTGGTATACGCGCGTAACTCAGTGCCATTTCGTCCATCAAATCCGCCGTGGAAAACTACGTTTTTGGTACATAGGTAACCACCACGCGATACGCACAGCACGCCTATTCCACCGGCTCTTTCACCCCGCGCCCGAGGTGAGTCCAACTGCAGTACTGCATATAACTTATTAGTAATATTATTGTTTTGTCGTCGGCATTGAGACGGCCGTTCTTTTCTGTACGTTTTCGTATATTTTTGTGTGTCGTGCGACCGCCGCCGGCCGCGATCCCGGTACCGTCGTTCCTACGCGGTCATTCGGAGGCGGCTTGAAAGTTTTCCACGTATTTTACGTGAGTTAAGTTTAGTGGTGCAAGACACGGGGACACACCCGCCTGTACCGACCCGGGTCATTGGTATTTGTGATACCTGCCTGCTAGTAACCGTTACCTAACTGATGACTTAAAGTGAATTTCGACCACGATTATATCGCATTGGGGTAATGTTATTGAAAATTAAAACCATGCGTTGCAGTGAACAAAATATTGTGTCCAACAAACCACCAAGCGCCCTCCTCCTTGCACAATGTAAGTAAAATTGTGTATATTCAAACCACCTCTGTTCAATCATTCCACATCAAAATATTATTGTACTACGTGTCCGTCATCGCATTACATCTTGTTCGTGACGCTTTTCTCATATTTTCTCACAACAATTATAACGGTTAGGTGGGCGAAAAAACATCGTCATAATATTGTCGTGTACTCAGACCTCCGACGGACGTGCGAAATACCTACACATAACATACGTCGTTTACGCCTATTATAATTTCGTGTGTCGCTTGGAGACCTTCATATATTATGTCCACAATAATTTCAGATTTGCGGGTAGCCGAAAAACGCGTCTAGCGGTGTGCGTGTGTCCTTTGTGGTTTTGCCACCGCCAAAGTGCGAATATATTTTTCGCACCACACCGGTGTATTGTATATGATGTGTACATGAAATATGCGCATATATCATCCGAGTGCGGTGTGGCCTGCACCGCACCCGGGTGGAGGATGTTATTTTTTTTTTATCGTCGAGTATAAATAGCATTTTGGATAGTCGTGTACACGCCGCCGCTGCCGACTGTTATAAATTCGGACTCGCGCGCGAATTTGGCAAACTTTCCGGGTCAAGCCGCAGCTGCTCAGCCTCGTCGTTTTCGAACTAAGACTATTCGATTCCGCGGACACATAATATTATAATACATTAATTATACCTCCATACGTTTTGTATTATATTCTATATCTACCGGATACTTAAACATTCACACTGCAATGACGCCTGAGCCCTGAGACTTTTTTTTTGATGATGGGTATATAGTTTTATGCACCTACTGCTTTTATTGACAATTTTTTTCTCAGCCCATTTTGTTACGTCGGTGTTTAAATTAAATGCTATTGGTAATAATCAAATTAATTATGAACGTGTAAAATTATACATTAAAAAAAAAATGTAAATCTACTTTAGCTCGATTAGTTTTAACTTTCAGTTCCCCTACATGACGAATTTATTTTAATGACTATTATGCAATCATGATGATCTAATAAAATATGCATAGTAATCATAGTATATAACTATAATATAAGTATCACATAAGTCATATACTACAACAGATATAATTAAAATTTAAAAGTTTTAATCCACGTACATGATTTAATACTAAATTCATTATTGATAACATATTGATGAATATTATGATCGATAATATGTCTATTTCGGCATGGTCACAAGCTGTTCGCCTCAGGGATAATAATCCGTCATTAGAACAGAGTCTGTGATTAAAAATTGTTAATTATTACTAAAATGTAGTGGCCGTTACCTACACCTCTACTCTATAGTTATAGCGTTGTATGTCACTGATTTCGTACTATTGTGTTTTATTTATAGGGTCCACGTCGAACGTCGGCCACGCGACTATAATATATACATATTGTGTATAAATATATAACTATATATATAACTCAAATTGTTTAACGACAATTCATTATTAGCAATGAATACTATGCAAAACATTTTAGTATATTGTATATGTAATATTATATAATAAATAAAAATATCGTTCATCGTCACTCAGTCACTGTGTAATGCTAGGACGTAAATTAAAAACAATATTTTAATACATTACACCACATCTATACGGATATGTACAAATTATTATACAGCATGTCATACCGAATTGGAAAATCATATTTCGCATTTTATAGTATTTGGTTCGATTAACTTAACATTATTTTAAATTCTTAGCGTACCCATTTTCAGAGATGGTTGACAACGCAGGCGACCGCGAAGTATGCGCAAAAGCGTATACGGTGGAATTAATAGCTTAAACTCAAGAGAAGACATTTTTTGTACCTTGTCATGTGTAAAAATAATTTATCATCGGCCCTAGCCCCTAGGTACCTATATAGAATTTATTTTTCAAATGTCCCATATTAGAACACAAAAAGAAACCTATCTGAAAAATCAATGCAATTTAACTTCCATCTAGGTCGTAGCCAATTTGTATGTAATACCTGTTGGCTGTTTGACTGTTAAGAATGAGTTCTGATTTGGTTAATACTATTGAAAAAAATTCGTGAGAGAACACAATATTCCACAGAGTAGTTATACAAATAATTATACAATACGTGTTAAGATTTTTTCAAACAAAGAATTCAATTAGTTTGTAGAAAGTAATATTGTAGGGACCGACCGTATTGTTATTTTACCGATTTTATTTATTTATTTTTATATTTTAATATAATTTGTTGTATAGATAATTCCACCATATTTCAATTATTTTTATATATCAATACTTTAAAAACTCAAAATTAAGTTTGTTTTCATGGCTGCAGCTTCTAAAATGTTTTAAAATTAAGTACTTAAAAACTAAAGTAGTTTGAAACAGATCCCCCCCTCCCATATAGAATATTTTTGTTAGACATTACTTTTAAATCCATTGTGGCATTGTGCCGACATTGGTGTAAATAAGATCCCTACGAGCTACAGTATCTGGATATTTGATTTGAATTGTAAATACCAATGAAACTTCAATGCTTTAACGTACTGATTATATTATTATGCATTATTGTTTACACGTCCTTGTGAAGTCGTGTGTCGTGTTATATCCATATTGCATTTTATACGCAGTAAAATGACATTTTAGAACTGTCGTGATAATTCATTAGACTAAAGTAATTTTTTAAACATTTTATTATACAAGATATATATACGTTGTATAACATGAATAACATAATATAATAACTTATAATAATTCTTATAAAGTCTAAATCTTATAAGTTCGTAATTTTTCTTTTAATATCATAAAATAAATAAAGTCAAATAAAAAGTTGTTTTGAATGTTTTGATAATTTAGCATAAGACTTCATGTTTAATTAAGACTTAGTGATTAATATTTTGTACATACTAACTTATAAGACTTGAAACATTTTCTTAGTAAAATCTCAATGTAGATGTTAAGTTTTAAGAAACACTAAGTAGGTACATTATGTAGAGAAAATAATAGAAGAAAAGTAATATCAGAATAAAAGTATACACAAGTAAAGACACAAGCCCAAAAAAGTGGGATCGTTAATAATTTGCACTAGAATATTAGAGTTAGACTGATGTATGAGAATTATCAAAAAAGTTTTCAGGTGATTAGGAGAATAAGAGATATGGAAAAGAAAATTAGTGTGAGTGAAGCTTGATCGTACCCATTGATTAATAAGAAACAGAAGTGTGTAGAAGCTTCGAATTTTTCATTTAGAATGTTTGATACGATTGGATGACGGATGTGGTTGCGATCAGCACGACTTGAGGGAGACATTGGACTGCAGGGGTGTAATTGTTGAGAGAACAAATGTTTACCTTGATATTATTATGGTTATAGAAATGGTCCTTAGATAATTTCAAGTATAGCACTTGACACTTGTACAATATTATGCAGTATAGATTGACCAAAAAGAAGGCGTATTAGGAGATTGGGCACCCACATTTGCACAATATGTAGAGCTCTCGAGAGACGATACCAAAAGTAAATCAAGTGAGGTTAAATTAAATTTCATATAGTCAGGATCTAGTGATAAATCATTATATTTGTTTCATATTATTAACATTGTGAAAACATCATTCTAAATTTGTGTAGGTATCAAAAATATAAATCCTTAAAAATAATCCTTTGCTTACAAATAATTATCAATAATTTAAATCTTCACACATACAAAAATAAATTACAAAATCGTACAGGAAAAAAATCTTCAAAATAACCCAAAGTTATTAATATTATTACCTGCTACTAACTATAGTATTAATTTCGGTTAACCTTGAAATTTTGATTGAGTGAAACCGAATAAAAACTCAAAATAAAGATGTGTAAGCTTGGAACACGTCATACCATGCAATGTTATAATTATAATAATGATGTAATTTATAACAACAAATTATTACGTTGTCGGATTCTTCATAATATAAAAGAAAAAACACAAGTACCCTATTTAATTATATATACCTCAGCTCAACCTACTAAAACTATGCATTATTCGAATGCCTATAATAATTATTGATCAAAACTATAATTTTTTTATAATTAAGGCGTAGGCATAATTATTCATATTTTTTTATTTACTTTTCTAAAACTTAAGTGGGGTTTAAACAACTATTTTATCTAGTTTAAATTTATATTTTATCTAGTTTAAATTTATATTTTATTTCCCTCACACTCATCTTACGAGACAAATTATTTCACATGACATAACATTTTTGGTATACTTAGATAGTTAGATATTACACTTAAATATTAATTATACCTTAAATTATTTTCTAATAATCATTTTACAATAAAAACACATTGTATTGTTATAAATATATAAATAAATAGGTAGCTTCTATATATTATGTAAGTTATTATAAAAAATTATTATATAGTTCAATGCTAGGTGGTTACAACAATAATACATAATAGATCTAGTAACTATTATATTATTCGTTTACTAAAGTTGATAAGTCAAACCTTTAAAATAAATAATGGTACGTTTCGAAAAATATCCTCAAATTTACAGTAAAAATATTTTGTGCAACTGGATGGGCTTGATGTATAAAAATACGTTCGTTGATTACTCATTATTATTGTACATTTATATCACTTTTAATTCCAAGGCCAAAAAACATAACATTAATATTTGAGTTTAAAAGGTTTTATAGTATATGATAGTAGTAATTTTAATTTAGATAGGAAATTAAATAAAGAATTTCAACGAACAAAATAATAAATTAAAATTTTATTTGACATGGTTTACAACAAGACGTATGTTATAACTTATAAGTATAAAGTTTGAACTTATGCTTGAATGTTTTGTTGAAACTCGACTTGGTATTTGTGGCTTTTATTATAGTCCACTACTGCAGTTGTGAAGTTTATCATACAAAGTAACTGTAGTAAAAAAAAAAACATACAATCGATATTGTTGTAGGTAATGTTGTGATCAATTAATTTTATTTAGACTGCATAATATTGCCAAACAATTAATTGTATGATAAATTATTTTTAACATTTTGACCAATAAAATAAAACAAATTAAAAACATACATTTCTGACCATATTAAAAGAAATCATAGTATTATATTATAATATATGGCTATAAATATTGGCTATGGACCAATTCGTTTAACAAAGCGTGAATTTAATTTTTATGAAAAATACGTAAGACATATAAATACGACTATTAACATTAAATTAAGTAAAAATTGTTTAACTTCTTGACAGGAACGATAAAAATTTGACCACTCAAAAGTAATTAAGAACTTATATTTGTTTTAACAATCAAACACATTAAATAGGTGCGAATAATGAACGAAAATTCATAGATACAATGTACAGGCTAATACGTTTTCAGAATTAGTTCTAAATAAATTGTATTAATACTATGCGCACATTTTTAATTTACAATATTATTATATTATATATATGACAAATTGACAAATTGTAGCCCATATTATATTCTTATAATTACTGATTTTATCACATACCTATTGGCTATTACTATTGAATATATTTTGAAAAGAAAAATTCATTAATATGCCATACAATTTCTACTAATCTTTATTAGGTAGGTACATACTAATTAAGAATCTAGGTCAAAATGTCCACGGTAAAAATTTTTCAATTTTGGAAATTTTACCATAGTCAAGGGCTCATAGGCTTGGATTGTTGTCATCAGATGAAAAATGGCTGCGAAACGGAATATCACAGATATCAATTGTGTGTACCATATACACTTGATTGTTATTGGCTCCCTTTGTGTTGGCATTTTTGAATTTATGAAGAAAGGGATTTAATATGCAATAAACTTGTACATTTTAACCATTTCAAGTATCTATCTATCTATTTATTAAGTATATATTTGAGTTTATGCAATGTTATCACCAATATTGTGATAAATACTTCATTCAGTTCCACTATGTTATATTTATGTATATCCAACAAAGTTATATTTATTTTATATATTTTATGTAACTGCGGATTGCTGATATATCAAAATAAAAAAAATAAAAATTTATGATGACACATGGTACATAATATAGTTGCACAATACTTGAACTTGTTTGTCGTCATTGCTCTAGCATAAATATAAATTTGAGACCATTTAAGGACAGATTTTCTGATCGAAATAATAATAATTAAGTAGGTACCTAAAACCTATAGATGCCTAGATTATTCGGTATATAAATATAAATATTAATAATAATATCATAAATACAAAGTACAAACGCATATTTCATAATTGCAGTAGCAATAACTGTTAGTAACAATTTATTCAAAAATAATTTGTTTAATATTATTAAATAAATTCGATATCTATAACATTATAAATTAATCTTATTTATTTATTCATGCAGTAATACCTAAACAGCAGCATGTCAGAAAGACGGACACTTTTGAGCCGTCCGCGGACCCGTGTGTATGACTGCAACTACAACATCGGCGAGGGTTATTATAAGCCAATGATGGACCACCTGGACCGCAAGTACTACGGTACTTCGGCCGCGCCGGCCGCAGCCAAGCCCTCAAGTGGATTCTTCGACTCCAGTCCAAAAAGCCTGTTCGGCACGTCCGGCTCATCGGCCTTTGACGAATATAGATCTTCGTCACCAGTGCGGTCCCGGCGCAGCGGATCTGACTCCAGATTATCGTTGCCCGATGACGAATTCGAACAAGAGGTAAATGCTGTCGATGACATTATATGTTAATCGTTTATGGTATAATGCATGATGCATCGATCGCTATACGATTATTGTATGTATTAAATCTGTGAAGTTACTTGAGGGACAGTGTAGCAGTGTGAGTATAAAATATATTAGACAAGTACCTAATGTTAGGTAGTATTAAATGTTTGGAACAACATACGTCTCGTCTTAAATATTTTTGGTGAAAACATTGTTTGTAAAGCAGTTTAGCCGGATACTTTGTTAGTAGTAGTTGTAAAATGTATATAGGCCAAGACTCGAGGAAATTTGTCGAGTACTGGCATATCAAACGGTTAATTTAAGAGCAGGAGTTTTGCTTAAAAGTTTTGCTAAAAGGAGTTTTGCTCTTCGTGATTTGAAATATATTATTATTTATTACTGTTGATCGATATTTACCCATTAGATACTGGTTCAGGATAAAGAAATTTACGTAATCACATTTATTTGATCCATCAGATATTTTGAAGTTAAATAAACTACTTTATTTTTATGTGTGAGTACAGCCAATGCATGTAAGAAAAAGAACGTGTGGCATATTTACTGTTTATGAACTATACATGTAGTATACAATATATTTTACTACTATATTAATATATACTATTATTGCCATATTATAAGTATATACCATATATTGGACCTTGGTAGTGAAATAGCATTCCCTCCAAACAAAAAAAAGTCTCTAAAATATTCACCATATTATATAACAGAACTGTGAAAACGGTTAATCAAACCTTAGCTTATAAAAAAAATAAACAAACTGATTGTAAAAACGTATAATCTAACTGTATAGTGTATACATATCACATATGTAGCCATATAGCTAAACGTATAATTTACACCTTGGAGTTTATCCAAAATTAAAGGATGTCAAAGTGTATAAAAATTTGATATGTATTTTTAACATCTATTTTTGGCATTGTATTTTTTCTAACATTTAAATGGGATTAAAAATAATCAAAGAATGATTTACATTGTTATATGGATGCAGTTTTAAAAATATTTGTGTATACATAATAGTATGTACCATATAAGTTTTATATATTATAATTATATAGACACCTGCTATACAAGTTTTGGATGCCTATATAAATATTATCGTCTATATTATTTTAATACATAATACAGTTATTTGTAGTATAGGTAAATAAATATAAATTTAAAAAAACATAAATTTTCCGTTCGTCTTTAAATGTATTTTAACTTTTAACTTGAAGTTCATGAAATTACTTGATTTTTTATCATGTAAGTATGGTAATTGAAATGCAAAATGTCTGAATTTTGAAAACTTTAAGCATTTGTGTTGAATATGAAAATAATAAAAAAGTAACTTAGTAATAATGAGTGGGTGTGTAATTAAGCTAGCTTTAAGAGGATGTTATACCCGCATGGGTTGTCTCCGTCTTACAAGTGCGTAACATAGCTAATTGTACACTCAGCAGAACACGTGTAGCTCCGTTAATTTAAAAATTAAAGTGAATTGACCTCTTATAAAATCTAAACTTAAGATTATTATCTAGGCAACCTCATAGGTTTTTTATTATATTTTAATTTTAACGCGAGTTATGAGTATTTTAACATTGTAAATTTTTTATACATCTTAAAATACTTATAACTCGCGTTAAAATAAAAATATAATAAAAAGCCTATAAGCTTGCCTAGATAATAATCTTAAGTTTAGATTTTATAAGAGGTCAATTCACTTTAATTTTTAAATTAACGGAGCTACACGTGTTCTGCTGAGTGTACAATTTGCTATGTTACGCACTTGTAAGACGGAGACAACCCATGCGGGTATAACGTCCTCTTAATATAAAATATCACATTTATTCGATATCAAATCAGATCCGATATCACACCCAAGCGGTATAACGAATTGAATCCACAAAAACGTCTGCGTCAACAGTCACGAAATTTCTATTTCTTAACTTTTCTCTTAAACTATGATAGCTAGAAAGTTGGTTGATAGCTCATTAAAAAAGGATTATCATGTAGATACAAAATGTGAAATTAAAAATTTTTAAAAAATGTATTTAATTTTTCACAGTTAAAAAAAAGAGTTATTTTTTGCTCGATTTTCATTTAGCGGAGTAGATTTCCGAAACTGGAGAACGGATTTTGTTGTATGAAGTTTTGTTAGCTTCACATTGGCTAGGAAAAGTGCAATGAGGATATTCAGAACTTTGTCTTCAATCGTTAATTCACTACAAAGCTTTAAAGCTGAAAAACATCAAAAAACGCCCAATAAAATGTGTTTTGATTTATTTTAAAGCTCTACAGTGAATTAACTATTAAGGATAAAGTTCTGAAAATCTTCACTGCACTTTTTCTAGCCAACGTGAATCCAACAAGACCCCAAACAATAAAATCCGCTATCCGGTTTTGGAGATCTATCTTACTAAATGAAAATGATTTTTTTAGCGAAGCTGTTCACAACGACATTTTTCTGGATTAAAATTGTTATACCGCTTGAGTGTGATATTTTGATTCGTTATCAAGTATTCAAGTTTAATAAATAAGTAATTTAGTAAATAAAACAAGCAAACGACTTTAATACCTCTTAAATTCAAACCAGTTATATTTAACCTACTATATATTCTACTAATCTACTATAATCAAGGCCGTAACTGGAAATTAATTTCAGGAGGGGTTTTAAGCAAAAAAAAAAAGTGCTCTAATTTTATTAAAATATTTCATAGGTAATTTAATATAGTATAAAAATTTCGGGGGGGGGGTCCCCCAGGTACGGTCTTGACTATAATCTAATATCTTCTCAATAAATTAATTTGTAATTGATAATTTCTTTAAAGTACAATTTTGGTTTAATCATATTGTAATAAAATACATACATATTACATACAATTAATAAATTTCTAAAAATTAAAAATTAAAAATCAAGAAAGTTTACATGTCGATCTCTAACTTGGCAAGCGTTTTTTTTAGATTCTGAGTGGAGCAATGAACTATATGTTAGGTAATGAATTAACAATGAAGTGTCTGAATAGACCATACAATTTGTTTAATATTTTAACTCATATTTATAGGCATATAACATTTTCGATTAATTTCTATAAAAAATGTTTAGCTGCTGGTCAAACAACTTGAGAATGTCATACAAGGTTCCTTATACGTTGGTCTATCATTAAAAAAAAAAAATTCTAACGGAAGGTCAAATTTAAATTTTTATGAGAGTTTGAATTTTATTTTTTTACAACATTGGGTATTCAATAACCATATTATTTGATAAACTATACATATAGGTAACCAATAATATTAATAAGTAATTAGTTATAATGTAATCGATATCTATAAATGAGATTTATATATACCGATTACATTATAACTAATTACTTATTAATTTTAATGGGTACCTATATGTATAGTGTATCAGATAATAAAGTTATTATTATGATCACCATTATTTAAGTCGAATACATACGTCATCTACTCATCTCTATAACGACACCAAAATGTCATACTGATACACACCCAACTATCCAATAATAAGTTCACAGAGAAAAAAACTGTAACCTTGTAAAGCTGTATACCTGTATGAGTATAAATTAAACAGTTAGTTTTTTTTAATAACATTAATGTCCAGGTTACAATAATTTATTTGATGATAAATAAACATTAATAATAATAAATATATATGAAAAACAGCATACCTATATACAGTATGCACCGTGCATCGATGCTCCACTATTGGAGTTCAAAGAGGCATTGCATATTTTGGTGTATACTGTATATTGGAGTATTTTTTTTAAGAATATTTAAGTCCAAATTACAAATTTATGTTTGTTTTACTGATTTTCCGATGTTTACGTTAAAATCTTAAACTCCAGATGTTCGAAGCGTTTTCGAGGTCGTGTACTCATGTGTACAGGAAATGAGCAAATCACCACGTACTACATTTGTTCGAGCAACTTAGAATGATCTTTTCTGTTTTCATTACTTAGATACTTATTGAATAAATTAAGGCCTTGGGATGAAAGGAATAAATACAGCACAATAGTAGGTATATTTTGTGTTACAAAATAATAACTAACACTCTCAGCTGGTTCCTCCCGTGATTTGGCAGAGTGGTTAAATTGTACTGATCAGTGTTATAAGAATACACACACTCGGGCACATTTTGTTGCTGAACTCGCAAGTTAGTGCTCAATATAAAAAAACCTTTTATTATAATTTCACTTTATAAAAAGGAAGACACTATTTCTCAGTATACCCAGAATATTAATATTAAAATGTAGTGGTTGAATGTACCAAATGGATTCTCCGTCTTCTACAAACGAAGCACATACAAATTTGCATTATGAGTAATATTATAGGTACAAAAGATGGCCTAAACTCTATAAAACTACTGTATTATAAAAAATCAATGTGTGTTGTCAAACACAGATAATTTTCTTTTCTTTAAATTTGGTAATATAAATCAATTTCCCTACCTATAACATTAAAGCAAACAATTAGAATTTCAAAAAATCAATTGGTTCTGCTATTGGTTTTTGGCCGACGGCGAGAATTACTTATACTGTGTTTCAAGTTTTCCTACAATTAGTTCACAGACCTTTCCTATTACAGCAAAATATTAAGAAACTAACATGTAAAAAGCAATAATTGAATATATTATGTAGGTAGGTATATATGCATAATAATACTTATAGATATATTGGTATAGGTACCAATTAATAAGACCTAAATACTGTTAATACATATAATGCTAATTAATTGGAAAGTCAGTACCTAACCCTTTTTTAAATTATTTTTTTATAAATTATGGTAAAAGGGAGGCCGTTAGTAACAAATTGCATTAAATATTCGTATTACATCATGATTTATGCAAGCAAGGGTTTCTGACTTTTCAATTAGTTAACATACTTACTATATATTATATAGTGTGTAAGTATTACCGTAACTCGTAAGTACTAGTGGTTGTTTTAACAGTATAAACATTTATAATTATTGTCTCCAATTGTATTATATAATTCAAAGTCATTACAATACAACATTTTTAATTGAATTTCAATTTTTGCCTTCCAAAAGTACCAACTAAATCCAGTTTTTACTAGAAAAAATCTTCAAAGTTGAGCATTGAAGCATTTTTTCATCTATAAAACATACACTTATAAGCAAAAAAGAAAAGATATAACTAAAATAGTTTTTAATTATTTATTGATCATTACAAAATATTATAATTACCAGAAAAAATTAGCCCGATTTTTAAATGTGTACAAACCTCTGTTCAGATTTCATAAGAATACTCACACATTTAACTTTTCATTGGCCCTCGCACTAGAATGTTCAGTGGAACCCATTATTCTGTTGAAATAAATAAAAATATAAATAAGTAAAAAAGAAACAATATTTTATTTTTGTGGAAAATTTTAGTTTTAATCTGTGTGTCGAAAGTGTTCAACAAATGTATTTATAAATTAAATACAGTTTATGTAAAGTTTAGATTAGTTGTGACAACGGTGACGGTGATCAAAAACCATAAAGGAAGACTTTTATTATTATATTTCTCCATGCCAAAAACGCCGAGACGGGACGAAAAGGGAGAGAATCGGCGGACCTCACCGCACCGCACCATAGACCTATAAACTTAATTTCTCTTATTAAACTCGATCCACTTATCAGTTGGTACTTTTGAGGGTTTAAGAAAAAAAGGAAAAATGTACGTAATACCAGTTATCGATCAAAAAAAATTTAATTTGTATTTTTACCAAATATTTATATTAGTAATTTCTTTCCATAATAAATGAATTAATAATTTTGGATTTTTTTGAGGTATTTATGCGATATTTGAAATTGTTATTGTTTTTTTTTATATTTGTATTGATAACATTTTATTTGCTTAGTCAAAAAACTTTAGGAAAATTTAGAGCGAGGTTCTCTAAAGTTATTCATGTGATTATTAAACATATCGATAATAGTATAATACTGAATCATAATTTGTTTTTACATTAAACTAAAAATATACTTAAATAATTCCTAAGCTCACTTTCTTTAAGACATTTTAAATTCTAATTACCTAGTAGTTTAGACAACATTTTATATTTAAATGAAAAACATCAATTATTCCTATAGAATTTTTAGTTATTATGTTGTAATTCGGAAAATAATAGATGTAGTAGATCTCAGATTCTCAGCTCTCAGGGACATAAAACAATATACGTTTTCAGATATGTTATTGAGTAAATAAGTTAGTTAATACAATATAAGTATATGATTGATATGTATGAAGCGTTGTTGACGTGTGATATGTGAATGCATCATCGTGACTCGTGAGGTACTCACCGCACTATTTTGTTCACACACACTATTACACTAATGATCACTATGTACAAATTTACACAACACACACACACATTCACTAACTATAAAAGTCTTTATCGAATCCAATTACCTTAAAAAGTAGGTATATAACTGGCAGTTGGCATTACCTGTTGTATAAGTTATTCAAAGTTATTAGATGGGTGTAGTGAAGTCTGACCCCCGAGAGACCCTACAAATGTTGGTCTACCATTCCAATCATTTGAACTTTAAAATTACTTACAAGTTACAACTATATAGTATGTTCGAACGATTTTGAAATTCGATTGAAACTATAAACATATGCGAATTCGCGATGTATACAGTATAACAGCATACCGACAAGTGATGATGTTACTTTATTTATTATACCTATGATTTAATAATGTATAACATAGATTGTGTGTTATTTGTGTTTCAGGTGGCCGCAATGCGTCGGGCTCGTGCCGCCAAGGTATCAGCTGCCCGGACGGCATCTCTAGAGAAGGAATTCGAGTCAGCGTTCAACGGTTTTGCGTCGGACGGCAAGCCGAGGCCGCGGCTCAACTACACGGAGAAGATGTTGGACACTGTTGGGCTGAACAGCAAATCACAGGGGGCGTTGGAGGACGAGGTCTACAAAAAGAGGACAAAGTCCTTCTTCCAGGACGCGGAGGATGTGGTGGCCACAGCCGAACTGCACGCCAACAACCGACGGTCTGCTGCGTTAAAAGCGCATCTACAGGACCAGGCTGACGAACAGTCTGCCGGTCAGCTGGCGGCTGAGGCCAGGGCGCGCAAGTCCAAGGCCCGTCTACTAGACATACAAAACGAGCTGGATGGCATCGTGGAACGGGATGCTGCCCGCCAGAAGCGCTCGGCCAATCTAAAGGCCCTGTTCGCTGATAACGAAGCGCTCACAGAATCAGTTAGCTCTTTCAAGAAGAAGTCATCGAAAAAAGTGTCATTTTAATGGAATTTAACGTATTTAATATTATTGTTATAAACATAATATATTAAGAGAGAAAGAGGTATAGGTACCGAATCAGATCGGATGTCGTAACCGCTAGCTGTCATCTTTCATCATTACAACAGTTCTCTATTTTTCCCACTCTATCTCTCTTCTCCTCTCCTTTCTCTCTCACTCCGCTCTTCTTCTCATATCCTGACTCTTTTTCTTTCTCTCTTTTTGTCTCACAATTTTTTCTCTTCCACGTTAAAGTCTAATATGGCATTACATATTTTAATAATAGTGATATATTTCATCTGGCGTTGTTTTTTTTTAAATAGATATAGAGCATAACATTTTTGTTCGTCGGATTTGTAGGTATTCGAGCAGGATAGAACAAAGTTTAATTAAATTTCTCTTTTTAGTTACGTTACATAGATTTGAGTTCAAATGTTGTTCGATATTTTTTTTTGTTGTTGCATTTTTGTGTTATTATACATTTAACGAACAACTGAGGTATGTATTACCTTTAACGATTGATTAAATAAATAAATACCTACTTATAATTGTTCGAATATATATATATACGATATAATAATAATATACGTTCAAATCACAAATAATATTATGTTTTGTAAATACTATAGGTACCTATTATATTTTTCGGTTTTCCGAATACCTATATTGTTTTATTTAAAGTTTAAAATACTTTATAAATGTTGGGACGACTAATACCACGAATTTAAAATTATTATGAGCTGTGTTGAATAGTCAAAATATATTGAATATAGTTGCGAGAACTTTTAATTGAATTCCATAACGTTATTTTAGTTACGACTTTTTTTTATTTTATTAAAATATTATTTACAATCTATACAATAAAAACAATAAGTATAATGACTAAATTTGATTGATGGTTATTGACAGGATGTTGTGTTTATGGGCAGGCACTCGGCAGTGCCACCCTACACTTTAAGTTACCACTTAAATGTTTTTAACAGCTGCTCAGATATAAAATATAACAATTCGTACAGCCAACACAGCTATACTCAACAGGTACCTGATATACCCATTATTATTACTTTAAACAGTGGGTATTTGTGACTTGTGGATTCTATTTGACTATTTCTAAACCTATATAGACAAATTATCATTTACGTAAATGAGAGGAGCTTATAGAAGGACTTAACCCTCCCTGGCCTTCACCTCTCAGGCCTTGAGATATTATTTTAATATGTATGTATGTATTATAATCGATATATCAAATATGAAATAGATAAAATGTATTATAAATATAATATATATTATAATTAAATCATTAGTTGTTGGTTAACAGGCATTTGTGTTGTGTAATCGAAATTATGTAAATGTTTTGATATTGCCACGTAGGTATTGTTAGACTTATAAATAGTTATAAAGATAGTGTGAACAATTTGTATATTAGGATAATAGGATCAGTGGGCCAATTGCGCTTAGTGTTTACCTTTTAGTTTTACATTTCGGTATCAAAGCTGTGTTTTGTTCAATCTTATTCCATCAGCTATATAGGTATATTTAAATAATTGAAAATTAAAAACTTATATGTTGATCAATTCGTTACTGCTTAAATGTTTTTTTGTTCTCGACATAAAATTATACATACTTATTAGGTGCGTATAACTTGCATTAAAAATGTAAATACCTGATTTGCAGCCAATATTCTATAACTTACAGTCTTGAGACTTTTATGAAACTTAATCATTCTACGAACATACACAAATATTGAAGTATTACCAAGTTAACTTACCAAAATATTAAATAGGTGTACCTATATTGTGTATTTATATTTTATGCGAAATTGAGACAGTAAGTATGTCGATATGGTGTTAACATTGATTTTATATTATGCTAATACATCAGTGGTATTATCTTATTACAGTTGGGTGTACAATATTATTATTTTTTAATTGTTGATAATTTGAATGGGCTATACAACTATAAAAACAATTGATTTTTTTTTTGTGTGAATATAATATGGTGATTTAAAAAAGAATAAGTTTGTTGGTCTAAAAATTGTTGTCGGACAATTGTTCCGTGTTTCAATATAAGTTGCGTTATACGAGTGACGTCATAAAATCACTATGTTTAGCAAGCCTTATATAATATACACTCGTCACTCGTGATATTTATTTCACACGATTAAAATAACTATAGAGAAAAATTGATTAAGGTATAAGTAATTAAAATACTTTTATAAAAAGGTTATAAATTCTTTAGAATCTAGTATCATTTTTAAAGTATTAAAATTTGTGTCAGGGATATTTATAGGAAAAACAAACAACAAAATATATAAAATAGCTAACATAAATAATATTACATATTATATACCTACTCTGTTATTTAAAATATAAGCAAATGTGTTTTCATCATTTATAACATAATAACTCAAATAAATGTGTTAAAAAACATCACTGAAAATGCATACTTGCATTATATATATACGGTCCGTCTGGCTTGATTTTATGACGTCACACGTAAAACGCGACTCATATTTGAACACGGAACCAATTGTCCGACAACAGTTTTTAGACAACTAAATACTTATTCTTTTTTAAAGCACTATAAAGAGAAATTGATTTTTTTAGTTGTAAAGACCTTTAATTATAACTTTCAAAAATATGAATTCCGAAGTGCTGTCAATGGGAGGTTACTCCACCCACCCACAATCAACCCATCATCAATCGTACAGCTTTTGCACTTAATGTAAATAATTATTTTATTGATAGTCCAATTCAGGGATTCTCAAACTCTTATAAACACTGTACCCCTTTTTATCAATACATTTTGTTGAGTACCCTTTCTTAGTTACTAAACTAAAATATATAAAAAAATTTAAAGACTTAAAGAATTTTTTCCTTGTTGATTTGTTGGCCAGACTCGTATTACCCCAACATTTCGAGTACCCCCAAGGGGTACGCGTATCACAGTTTGAGAATCCCTGGTCTAATTTACTAACTTAGTTGAAAAAAAAATATAATATGATGACAATATTACCGACGAAGTTTTCTATACATAGGTATATAATTTTTATTATTCAGCATATTAATGATAAACATGAGGTCGTAGACTTCGTTGATCAAAATTATAATAAATTTATAAAATAAAAATGATGTAGAAATTCAGTTTTATTGGTTGATGGTTCTATAATACATAGTATATTAGTATTAGTATATTGTACAGCAGAGTTTGCTGTAAGTCTAATTTATCTGTAGCATTGAAAATTATAAATTTAGATATTTTGAGCATGCAATCGGTCTTTAATTGATGGCCGTGGTACATCCAACATATTAGGATGACGTCCTAATGTTGACAGCGTAACCCTGAAACATGAAAATAAACTCATACAATTGTTCTCAATAATAAACAAATCTAAAATAGGCATAAGCAAAAATTTTATAAACAAATGATCGTTTGGATTTCCGTGAAATTCTAAGACGTATAAAATATAAATTAATAATACACTTAGCAAGATATGGTTGGTATGTTTACCTTAATGATTTCCGATCGAAACTTAAAAAATTAATTTCAATCTATGTTTGGATAGTAGAAATATATAGTACCTATAATACCTAACCTAATTGTTCTGGTTTTGTCGTGAAAAGTGTTTGATTTTGATAATCAAAGGCACAGTAAAATATATAATACCTATTTTGAATATTAATAAACCCTAATTTTATGAAATAATGTATAAACTATGAACAATAAGGTATAAAGAAATAGGTACCTAATTCAATAACTGAGAAGTGTGAATACATTAACAACCTATACATTTATAATTTACTATTAAAAAAAGTAGAACCTCGTCTAAAGATTGAAACATTTTGGAGTGCTTATAAGATATTTTCACATGACCTTATGTACAGTATTGGTAATAATGTTAATAAGTTATTTCTGCATATAAACGTTATAGACTTTACCACGTAGGGTACCCTGTATACATGTATAGGTATATAGGAAAAAGCACCTCTTATACCTGTACACGTATATAGTATTAAATTATTTATAATATCACCGCGACTTACCAAGGTGTACCGATGAGCTGGTCGTAGTACTGTCTGTAGTAGTAATGCTTGTCGTGATCTGCCCGGCAAATGGACGGTATTACCATGTAGTCGTTGAGCTTGGACTTGACCAGCGGGAAGTCGGACGACGACAGACGGCGGCCGTCTTTGGTGCACGTCCTGAGCACACGTTCCTCCCACGTCTGCGGCACAGGGACCGGGTCGTACAGTCCCCTCTGCCGCCTGTTCATGTAATTTATGTAGTCGTCGTAGTAATTGCTCTGGTATTCGTACAAGATGTTGTACTGAAGCCTGGTCGGTCGGGCCCAGTGTCTGAAAATCTTGCGCCTGTCTTTTTCCTCGATCTGCGCAATCAAAAACACCGCGATAAGTATGGATTGGTATTAGCACCATATATATATATATACGATATGCCTACGTCATGCGGAGCGTATTGACCGAGTAAAGACATCCATACGAAAAGCTGGTATATTATATGGATACAGTATATAAAGAAGTCATGAAAGAGGCATTCGATTTTGTCGTGAAAATGTAACATTATACACACTCGTGTACACCTAGTGGCTATACAATAGTAGTTGGCACATTGTGAAAAATTCAAAAATTATATTATAATAATAATAAATAAATTCAATTGCTCTAAACATGAGTACCTAGATGAAATTATAACTAAATGGATGATAATAATGATACGACACGATAAATTAATTTCGAACAAGTTTATTATTATTGTTGTTAATTTATACGCTGGAATATCACTGTGTGGCTTGTATTTATTCTACGTTTCAATTCACGTGAAAATAATTATATTAAATTACTCACAGCGAGCTTATAAGTTTTCCTCCATTCGGCTGGTGGTTTAGGAGCTTCAACTGGTTTGGCCGGCTCAGTATCCTCTTCGATCACTTCTTCGTCACCAGCGACATCAGCAGATAAATCTGTGTCGTCACCATCGAGCATCCAGGCAGGTGCATCAGGATCAGCCATGATAGATGTGTGTGATTTTACTAAAAGAGAACAAAAATCGGAAGCCTCTATAAAGACTAAAACGAAACAAAAAATAAAATAAAAACTGTGGTTTGAAATAAAGTATAAGTATATATACACACGAACCTCAACTGAATTCCAATCCAATAAAGTACCGACTGAAAGCTTAAATGAATCGATCACCCTTTTGTCCCATACAACTTATAATTCACTTGTGGCCATGAGTATGGCTCATGCCCAATATTTCAGGGATCGCAAAATGTGCAGTGGAATTCCTGCGCAAAGCGCCCCCCAAATATGTCCGGGAGTGTGGTAACTGTATGCAAATAGTGTACATAGTTTTCGCATCTCCGATCGCAATATTAGGAACCATTGAGAATTCAGATCAGATGTGTGTCTTTTTTGGCGCTGATACACTTTATAGATATCTCATTGTGTCCTAATTGTCATTGTCAATGGTGAACAATGCCAATATTTTGTGATGAAGAAACCTGTAACGGTTTTTGTTTCATTGGAATTATTTTTTTAAAATCTTAAATCATGAAATGTTGGTTGAGAAATATTTGAATACCATATCTTATATACATGTATAGCCTCGAGTATTGTATGCCAAATGCTGAAAAAAGAGCTCCCGGGTGAGGGATGTATGCATACAATACAAATAATATGCAATCAGTTTGATTAATAAAAAATGTAAAAAAAAAAATGACATAAGTTTAATGAAAAATTAATATTCATAGTTTTTGGTAACTCATGGATGTCAAAATACAATGAATAAACTCAACAAGGGGAATTCCTAAAATATGTAAGGTTATGTATTATTTAAATACTCATAAATAAATAATTATATTTTATTAATACATAATTTCCTTTATATTTGGCCAAACAAAATGTTCTTGACCCCTTTATTCATTCATTGCCGTACCTACTGACAAAAAAAGTTGGCCCCGGTGGTCAATCTTATCTAAAATTGTTTTAAAAATAAGCTGTCGAAAACAATACATTTGTAAACATGAAGCTTACGTTTTTTTATTTACTTATAATATGGCAATATGCTAGTTAAAATGTTCATTATACCTCTCTTTTCGAAGTATTTAAATGATTGAATATTTAATAAGTCAGTGTTTTTGTTTTGAATTGCAAATGTAATATTTATTACTATTGATAGATTTTAAAATAACTAACAATAAAATGTATAATTAAGTCAACCTTTTTGATTAATTAAAAAAAATGTTGATTATTTTAATAAGTATAATAATCAATAGGTATTATATGTTAAACTGCAGAGTCAGAAAGTAATATACCTATAGTTCTCCCAGCGTCGTCAATTCAAACGGAGAAAAAAACTGTTTAAGGATAAGTTGTAGTACTAAAGTGAATATAAAATAGGTACATGCATATATTTAGCACATAGTAAGTATACCTATTTTAAATATTTTAATATAATAGTTGATATTCAAATATTTTTTGGATAATTGGATTTAATTCAACCAGGAACTTGTATTAATAATTAATTTTAATCCAAACTTCTTCAAAATCAAAATAAAATAATCTAAACAATTCACTGCAGGATGTATATTTTTTCATATGTTGATTTATTGGTGAACAAAACATCCAAACAGTCTTCTTCGAATAAATAAATGTTGTTGAGATCCTATATAAATAAGTAACAATTTCATAACTTACATTTTAAGACAGTTGATTAAATAACACATATGCAATAGCCAATAGTTGTTTTGATATTTAAAAAATTCAGTTTAATACTTGTTATTATTTAATAGTGGAATTGTTCGAGCAAGTCACAACAAAAACGACCACTGGAAAATACAATACTAGTAGAACCTAAGAAAGAACTTATAAAAAAGTTAGAAAGGGTGTCATGCCGATTTATTGGATAGGAGTTACCTACATATTATTTGAAATACAAAAGAAATAATATTTTGTTATAATTTATATTATTAACTTATCAATTAAAAATGAGTAAATATTATTTCGTACATTCTTTGTTGATAGGTTCATAAAATATAAGTTATTTATTAGAAAAAACTGGATTGCAACCAGATTACTTAATATATATTGTTATATAGGTATCTCCTATACAATATGTACAAGGTACATGGCCGTCTTTAGAAATTACGCGCCCTGAGGTACTTATAAAATTCCGCCCCTCTTTTGTGGCAAGGAGGGGGTAGATTTTCAGAGATAAAAATAAAAAATAGTAAATACCTGTATACAATTATAAAACTTTACTTGTATTTTAAATACAAAATAAATAATGGAACAAATTCACTTTACTTCCCTTGTTTTTTTCTGATTTTTTTTGTAAACATGTAATTGAACGAGTTAAAAACGATTGTGCAAAAATGATTATTTTGAGATTTATGTTCTTTCGAAGTTTGTGACTGTACGCATTCGCACAACGCTGCTGTTTTATACGAATTACGAATTGTATTATGTTGTGTTTTCCAACAAAGCTAGCTGCGGGCTGCATTTTGTCTAATATCGTTATCAGTTATCCAATGAATTATTCGTATAAAAATAGATTTAAGAGAATATCCGAAAATAAACTTTGGAGAAATTTCCACCAAATCATAATACATACGAAAAAAGTGGTTCTTATTTGGGTTTCAGACTTTCAGCAGATTTGATCTCGATCAACGGATAAGAACGATATTTTACGTTTAATCGCACAACTGACAAATCGTCTTTATAGACATTTTGAATTGTTTACAATTTACAAACCAATAATATCACTATAAAAATAAAAAGTACCTACATTCTGAAATTTGTTCTTGTACAAGTATAAACATATTATATTTTTAAATAAAAATATTTGCAAAGTAAGGTTTTCTTAATTATTTGTGTGGTCCTGATCCTGAGATTCCACAAAAAGTCTGTTGACTGTACTTAAGACTGTATCATAGATAGACCGAGAAACGACTTAGGAATCAATCGTGTGCCGTGACTATTACTAGCACTTACCTTGCCGAAGGTAAATCAAATAAAATAAAATGAAAATTTGGTTAAGTAGGTAAACCTCTTTGCTGTACAACAGATGCCGATTGTACCTCAAACAATTTAGAGTGAATTCATTCACTTTCCTGAAATCGTTGTATTTAAATGTTCTAAAAATGTTAGAAACCATGTTTTTAATCACGCAAAAAATAAAAATGCAAATATGTTATTTTCTCAAAAATTTTTATTTTAATTTCGGTTTTTTTGTTTATATAAAATTTTTTATTTTTTCTGGTATTTTCTTGTTTTAAAAGTGATGGTTTCAAAAAAACAATATTGAGTTATTTTCACCACGATTATAATTAAATAAAATTGTTTTCCTGAAATGTAGGTGCCTATGTATTTTAATGTTTTAAAAACAATAATATAAAACAAATTATAACCATATTTTTTTATTTTTAATAATTAAACATGTATACATTATAGTCTATTATTATAATAGCATGATTCATCACTATCAAAATCTGATGCAACTGACGCTTGATCGTCTAAACTATAGTCTTGTTCTATAGCACCCAACGGATTATATAGCTTTCCTGTATATATTTACAAAAAATCTGACAACGGACTTCAGCTCAGAATTCTACAGCGTTTCAAAAACATGAATTTCGCAAGATATCTCCCTTAAAATCGTTTCTTTCGACAATATTGCAATAGAGAACCCTTGGCGTCACGCCACATTCCTTCCACATAGTTAGCGTGAGCTCCAGTATCCGGATTCTTAAATTGGATTGAATGGCGTACCGTTATAGGTGTTTAATCCCCTATTCTTCTGAACAGTAGTAAATTTAAAAAATTTAAAATAGCGAACTTAAATTTGAGAGAGTGACCCCGCCCGATATCTATGTGCATTTAAAATACAATTGTTTTTTACCCCGCGACCTACGACCTATCTACCCAAGGTGGTTTCGTAAAGTTATAGCCTATACTTATTAATGGTTTTATAATTACTTTCCAACGGTCACCTATGATTATGGTTGCACACGGTAAAATCCAAACTTTAATTGCCATAAGAGGAGTTTATTTGTACAACGTTTATGAACTGGAATCAAAAAACAATTTCCTGTATCTCTTTAAACACCACTGGATATCCATTTTCCTTCAACACTGTGTCCACGGTGGTATTTTCGGTGGCTAAACTTAGTTTCATCAATTTCAACTATTTTATTGAATACTCCTAATATAGAAATAATATATTATTATTTACTATCTAAAGTTTCTTAAATGTTGAAAAAAATATAACTATAAATTTGTTATTTTATCAAAATAAAAACTAACCATTTTTTTTATTGCTTATAATCACAGCATCGAAAGTAATTTCAAGGTGGAATGATGTCCAGTCAACAGCGGATGGTTAAGAAGTGTTTATTTGATTTTGATTAACAATAATGTAACATTTTCAAGCCATAAATATGCAAAAGATATTATTTAGTATAGAGATAAATGTGTTCTGTTAAAAAATATATCCATTCTTATGGACCGCGTATAGTAACAATTTTTTTTTTTTTGTTTATCGTGGCTGTTTGTTCGACACCGCCAAGTAAATCCGTCAACAGCCAACACACATCACATCTTCGAAATTTTAAATAATTTCCACGGTCACATTCGAGGTACTCACATACTCTCGTGTGAGTTGGTTGTCAGATGTTATTAAATTCTACTGTTGTAGTTGTCTTATAACTAATATTAGAGACACCTTACCAGACGTTTTATTTTCAAAAATATCGTAGTCGATAAAATGTGTGACGGACATAATATTTTTATTATTTAACAAGGCTACGACCTTAAACAGTCGCCAGTGTGGCCAGTGTGGGTAAGCCGCGCGCCGTCGTTGGAAATTTGAATTCACAGAACCGCCTATAATCATATATTTTAACTGCTATAGGTACACCATCGGGCCAGTTCGTCGCTGTTAATAATTTAATAATTTCACAATACATAATAATAATTATGTGCTTTTCGTATAATCCCTTAGCCTATTTAACACGCGATGAAAACGATGAAAATGACGAATATTAAAAGAGCCGATTGGATTAAAAAAAATCGTTTTTTCATCTGAAAACCGGTAATCGGCGCCCGCTAGATTAGCGAAGAGTGTCCGCCGGCGGCAATCCTGTGGAAGTCCAATAATAATAATTACAATATTAGACATCCCGAGTGATAGGCCCGGGCATCGGACCTCTAACGGACGTGACTCAACGATTGTTTCTGCAATGAACTAT